AGACTTTCATCGCACCCATCCTGATAAGCCGGCCCCCCGTCCTAGGGGTAGACCGCGGCGGAGACATCGGCCTCCAGGAGGCGGCCGTCAGGGGGGGGGGAATGTCACGCCCCTGAGGGGCGGAAACCCGCAAGTGACGCCGATTAACGCTAATCAGATCGCAGGATAAAAGAACCTAAGGAACAGAAGAACATCGCGAAGTATTGAGCCGATGATTACCAGCCATACCAAGCAATTTACTTGTCTGCCGTCTACCCTACCCTCCCGGATCTGCCTGTCTTACCTTTGTCTGTGCCTCACCTGTCTGCCTTCCCTCCTCAGTGTCCTCGTCATACCTGATCCTCCAGTTCCGACGTCCTCCGCCTTCCTCGTCATCGTTCCCCTTCGTGCCTGTGCTTCAGTGTTGGACAGCTCTTCCTGGTACCGACCATCGCCCACGTCTACCGATTACGATTCTCGCCTGCCGATTCCAAGTTCCGTCTACCTTTCCCCTCCCCTGAGCACCGCCTCGGGATCCACTGCCCCGCACCACCGGTTCCGGTCGGTGACCGCCTCGGCATTGCCGCTGTTCTCTCAATAAACCGGTCGTTTCCCTGCATTCCTGGATCCTTGTCCGTCTGTTCCACTCTCTGCCTGACACTATGCATTAATTTATGCAGAAAAATCGAAAGTAAAAGTTCTGAGCATTCTTCATTCAGTCGCCATTTTGCGGTGGGGACGCAGGAAAGAAATCTTCACTATCAGGTACGAAGAAATGCTCAATAGCTTTTAAACGAAAATATCACCACATTTCATATTATGTTCACCGTTCAGGTTATAACTGCTGTTGGTCTGATCAAATATAGCCAATATAACTATATACCTAAGTTTGTTACGATCGATCTATAATCATTTACTTGCGTTAAAATAAATGTCTGCGTTTATTAAAACTACCAGTTTACGTTTGTATGGCACACTTTGTTTTTAATTTTGCATTTGTATATTTCTATATATACTTTATAGTCTTAAATCTGGAAATTCTCTCTCTCTCTTGAATTAAATCGTAATGTCTGAAATAATGCCTGAAAATAATGTCTGAAAAATACACCCAACAACCACCATTTGCAGACCGTGTCAAAAAACAAAAGCTATTAGGCCTGTTTACAAATGCCTGCACAAGCGCAGCGTCTAAAATAATTTTTGAGCTACTATATTGTCTTTATCATTATGGCTTTTGATTTTTTTAGGTGTACAATTATTCAAAAGTAGTGACATTTCAATTATTTAAAAACATATTTACTCTCTTTGATTAGCACTGATTTGGCAAGGGAACAATTGAAATTAACTTGATGATTTCTCGTCATCTTAATGGCTTAAAAGGAAAACTCGACTGGAATGGAATGTTCCATCTGTGATAAAGACTGCATTGATCAAACCAACAAGTCGGCTCATACTGTATGTATAAGGAAATGGACAAATCATCTTATTATGCTATTGCAAAACATTTGTTTTTATCAACAAATACAATGACTTGCTGCATTAAATCCATGTAGCGCGGATTCTTCTGCTGTCTAAAAGTCTCTCCGCTACCCATGTGAACATAACAAAATTCATGTTCTCTATAAATTCACACCACATTTACAAAGTCTTCAGCTTGTAGGTGTATAATGTTCTGTGTTGACAAAGAGGACAGAAATGCGTTCGGTGAACTCAGGTTTTTTACTTTCTTATTTCCTCTCCTTTTCCTCATGTCCTCTTCCCAAATACTTTAGCGCAAGGTTCTTCAAATCTGGACCTCGATTCCAAATCCAGGCCGTGTTTTCAGTTCTCCCAGGTAGTTGTTTAATAATTACTGATTCACACCTGACTGACAGGTAAAGGAAGGCTGGAAAACCAGCAGTGCTCGGCCCTCGAGGACCGTGATGAATAACCCTGCTTTAGCGTATCATAGTGTCCTGACATGGTATTACTATACCCCCCTTTTACTCAATTAACATAATTCTTTACTCTTCTTTTGAATCTTCCCCGGCTGGTAATAGGACCCAACAGTATTGTAACAGTATTTTGTCTGTTCTTTAATCATGGACAGCATTGTTATTTGTCTGCAAACATGATCAGCCTTAAGCTTATTTTTCTTTTCTAAGCTGAGGGAAAGGGTAGACTGCCTGAGTTTTTGCTTTCTTGCTCTGCATTTTGCTCCATAAGCTTTCTTTGATTCATTTTATCTTTGTGTCTTTCCTTTTGATGGCTTGGAGGTCTGGCCACTCCGCTCTGAGTGTTTGAGGAGGGACCGGAACTGTAGACCTTAACTTTCTCCCCATCAACAATTCTGCTGGTGAGACTCCATGTCCTAATGGAGTTGTTCTGTAAGCCAAGAGAGCTTTCTGATCCTAATTTTTATTCAGTATATGTTTGACTGGTCTAACAGCTCTCTCTGTTGCACTGGGAATACTCAGGGACTACTAGTGACATGTTCAAATTATGAGAGTTGACAGATTGGCTACTTCTATATATCTGGTGAAGTAATCACTGCAACTAAGTAGTGACCTTTTTCCCACTGGAAGATATCTGTAGCCACTCTCTACCATGGTCTTGCAGGCAAAGGTGTTGTGAGGAGAGGTTCTGTTACTTGACCAGCATGCTGGCAGATTAAGTCACATTGTTCCACCATTTCTCCGATATCTCTGGTCAGCCCAGGTCACCATATGGACTGTTGCTCCTTAGTGATGCACTTTGTCTTGCCCTGGTGTCCCTGGTGATTTTTTTTGAAGCATCTCTCTGCACATGGGTGCTAGAATAAGGATTTGATCTCCCTTTAGCAGGATATCCTTTGCTACATGTGTGTCCATTCTGAACGACCAGTAAGGCAAGAGATTCCCTGGGACTGCTTTCCTGTGCATAGGCTAACCTCTGTCTGTGAACTGTCTTAGTGCCTCATGGTTCTGTCTTTATTCAGCATGTCTCTAATCTGACCTAGTTTAGTTTTTGTCACAGGTATGTGCTCCATGATGTGATCAATATAGACTTCACACTCCCTTTCAGTGTGTCACTCTCCCTTGTGTTTTCGGATCCAAGTGGAGCTTGTGATTACACACCAGCTGCCACCAGTTGTTATCCTGCAACATGAATGATTCTGTATTTGAATCTCTTAATCCTCAATCTGAGTCTGAGTATTTATGGAGGGAAGTCATCAAGTGGTCGAGAACCTATCAAGTAGATCAGGAGCTTGTGGTCTGTATGCACCGTGAAGTCCAATCCCAAGAGACATATGATCATTCACTTACATGCCCGTGTCACACAAAGGGCCTCTTTTTTGATCAGTGCATATCGGGTTTCATTGGGTGTCAGACTCCTACATAGATACTGTATGTACATCACTGGTCTGTATTCTCCATCTGGCTGGGAGCAGGCAGGGAGAAAACCTGCCAACGTAGTTCACCATCCCCATGAAGCGTCTCACTCCTTCAGTATTCCGAGGTTTCGGCATGTTGATAATGGCTTTAATGTTTCCGGGGTTCACCTCAGTCCCTGGAGCGCTTACTTTATGTCCCAGGAACTTCACATCATTCACTCTGAACTCACATTGTTCATTTAGAGTGAGGTCTGCATTCTCAAACTTCTGGAGAACTTTGCATAGCTCCCATACTCCCCCTGGTCTTTGCCAAATAAAAAAAATGTCATCGGTATTGCAGATTGCTCCTAATGTGCCTGAAACAATCTGCAAGATTCTCAACTGGAAGTGCTCAATTGCCGAGGAGATCCCAAAAGGCAGTCTGTTGAAACAGTACCTGCCAAAGGAGTGTAATGAAGGTCATCAATGGCTCAGAGTCTTTATATGAGGGTATCTGCCCAAATACCGATGAGTCATCCAGTTTGGAGAACGCTACTGCTCCGTCCAATTTTGCAAGTGTGTCATCCACAGTTGGGAGTATGTGCCTCTCTCAGAGCACACTTCCATTGAGGCTTGTTAGGTCCACACAGATCCTAATATGTGGCAGAGCGGGCTAAGCCTCGGAAGAACGGAAGGTTGCTCGATCAAGCCTGGCTTCGGCAGAAAAGTCACATGTCTGTGGGCCCTTTAGCAGGGCCCTTAACTCCCAGCTCCATGGTGCCACTGCAGTTGGCTGCCCTTTGCTGCCAAACTTACTCTCACCTACATCTGGGTCATGGAGAGAAAGATGGGGTAGGCAGAAAGAGAATTTCCCCATGAGGATCAATAAAGTGTTATTATTATTTCCATTGGGCTTTGGTACGACCTCCATCCCAGCACAGCACTCTGTGGGCTCTTGGATTTGTCAGATGACTCCCATATCCTCCATCCAATGCAGCTCTGCCTTCACTTTGTCCAGAAGAGGCGATGCTCCATGTCGAGGGGCTGACAGTGCATATGCTGTTGCCCCCTCAGCTAATTCTATCTTATAATAAAACTTTCTGCTGATTCACCTGCCTGATGATTTCTGCTGTTAAAATTTGCTCTCTCATATATTATATTGTGTTTAATAATAAAATGTTCAGCCAGGGCTTTGGTAATCTCTGCATACTAATTCTGTTCATCACACAAAACCAGCGTGTCATTGCTTTTCTCCCCAGTTACGTACAGCAGCGAGTTGAATGGTTTTCCTCAGTCTTTTCAGATAATCCTGAACCTCCTCAAAATCGCTCAAAGCATCGTAGCAACTGAGTCCAGCTGCTTGGCCTGTCAAAATTGAAGCTTCCTGGAGGTTCTAGTGAAAATATCTTCTCCACTTCTCACGTTATTTCCTTTCCTCCCACTCCTGGAAAGGCATCTGTAAGCTGGCCAGCTCCCTCACTTAGCAGTGGCTCGCAAGGCGCTAGTATTGCCAGATCCTGTATTTCCTCTGACTTTATAACTAATGTTGGTTTTCTGCTCACGGGCTCCTGCTGCCAATCTTCTGACTCCATGTATAATATTTTGCTGTGAATCTTAGAATTTCCAACAGACCACAATGACAGATGCATTCAAACTCAGTCTTTTACTTCTGTATCCTCTCCTTTTCCTGTACCTCCCCTCACGCAATGCTTTAGTGCCCCCTAGTGTCCTGACATGGGACATGGTTCTGTTATTACAGTCAGTGGTGGTTCTAACTTCTCCTGCGCCTGGGTAACCCCCCCCCCCCGACCAGCAACAAAATAATTCAGCCCTGAAATTTTTATGTCTTTTGGAACTATAAAAATAAATAATGATTAATTTTAAAAGCATATAAATATAAAGGTACATACAAAATAATATTTCTAAATATCAAAAAGAATTAGAAACAAATTACAGGTTTGTAAATGGTTTAAGCTCATTTTGTACTGCACTTTTAAAATTAGCAAAACTTTAAGTGCAGTCAATGTAACAATTCATACAGTGCAGTCAGGGACGGATTATGGGTTGTGTGGGCCCCTGGTAGGGGCCCTTGTAATCAGATGGCCCTCTAAAGGTACACTACACCCTCCTCCCTAGGGCCTCCTAGTAGGGCCCTCATAATCAGAGGGCCCTCTAAAAGCCCCCAAAGCCCCCAACCTCCCTAGGACCCCCTGGTAGCCAGAAGCCAGGACCATAATAGGAGGGCCTAAGAGGGCCTTCTAAAAGTAGGCTCCCATGCACCCATTTCCCTTTAAAGTTCCTATAGCAGGGCCGGGGGCCCCCTGAAAGCACCGACCCCCCCCCCCACCACCACCACCACAACCACCACAATTCAAGGGTCCTTGGCAGCCAAACGCCCTCCCTCCATGTTTCCATCAGAGGCCCTATAGGGTCAGGGGCCCTTGTAGGCAGAGGATCAAAGAATGTAGGCCCTCTAAAATAGACAAACGAAAAAATATTGTTGATAAGCGTTGCAAATTGTTTTGGGCTAGGGGCCCCATGGGCCCCCTGCACCCCAAGGGCCCCTGGGCAGCGGCCCCGCTGGCCCGGTCCGTAATCCGTCCCTGAGTGCAGCTAATCACATGATTTCATCAGCAAATGGCCATAATTAACTTAATTTTTGAAAACTCATGTTTCAAAATCACATAATAATAGATTCGCTATTGTCCCCGTGGGGAAATTGTCTTTACGCCTCCCTCAGATTGCTCTTTGTAGAGTAAGTTGTCCGCGAAGGGCAGCCACCTGTAGGCGACTGTCAGGTCCTCAGCCGGCAGCTTTATTACACAGTCCATGAGATGAACAGACATTTGAAAAAAAATGTCAGCTAATTGACTCCTGTCATACAGCTGTCCATACAGCATCTGTGTGTCAGACTCATAGCAACGAACTGGGATTTTAATAAATACAGGTCAACAGCAGTTATTCTCCCTTTACTGAACAACTGGCAGAACCAGATAACACATCTATACTTTGTGTGCAAATGCTGAGATCATTATATAAGTATAAACTTTCATGTCTCTCTAATGGGCACATCAGTGTCACTTCATACAGAGGAAACGCGGAGCTTCACACAGTAACGCAGCCTAAGACTGAACTGTTCAGACAGAGGTGTGGAGAAGCAGCAGCGACACACATTCAGGTGAGCTGAGTTTTCAAATTCAGTTACTGTTCACTCATCTACGGTTCTTATTACAAACACTTTTTTGTGAGAATGTCCACATAAAGGCTGCTGTACTATTTAAATGCCTCTATAACAACTCCTCTCTGTGCGGGAAGAGGAATCTCCTACTCGGAGCCAATACATAAAGCACAATGCACATTTACATTGATTTTGCACACTAGAGGTGTTTTTGCACATTTGTACATTTAACATATTTGGACAATTAGCATATTTCAAGATATATTTTTGCATTTTGCAACTTGGTGTTATGTCTACCTGTATGCTTACCTCACGTCTGTGTGTTCCTGTCATTTATCCCCTTAGAGGTAAAGTAATCTGAATTTGAATATAAATTCTGTAAATTTATGATTTTTTGTTTCTGTTAACAGACACTTGAATCCAAAATAATTTATTGTAGTTTTCGCTTTGCGCTGATGCTCTTTCTAAATGGACAAACACAGTTCTTGGACTTAGATCATCTAGTGTTTTATCTACAGAGAGAATCCCTGACTTAAGCGCAAACTATATGGCACCTAGTAAAACAAAATACAGCACACATATAGTCTATCATTATCATTGATGAGTATCTATAACTGTCACATGTAAATTCACCTGTAAACTGTAAATTCTCACTTTGTCTCACAGAGAGAAGGAGGGTGTTAGGAATGGCTGAGACGCCAGAGGCTTCAGAAACCATAGGAGGCCATGGAGCTCCAAAAGGTACAAACATTCTATTCTCTCACAGAAGTGCAAAAATACAAAGTATTAACAAAAAAAAAGAAAAGAATCACCTAAAACAGGCTGTATCTTGGCAGACCCTGCATCCATAACAACCTCTCCCTTTAGCACACTCCTCAGGGCTTATATAGATTCTAACCCAGGGGTCTCCAACTCCGGTCCTGGAGAGCTACTATCCAGTAAGTTTTCTATCCTACCTGGCTTCTGATGAGCCACACCTGCTCCTGGTATTTACCCGAGAACAGGTGTGGCTCATCAGAAGCCGGGTAGGATTGAAAACCGACTGCATAGTAACTCTCCCGGAGTTGGAGACCCCTGTTCTAACCCCTCCCCTTGGAGCAAATAATCTAACAATTAACATCCTTAATGCAATACATCCCCTATACACCGTTCTAAAATATCCTAAATAAAACCACAATTTTATTCAAATTTATTCATAAAACCAACAAAGACTAAAAATATCAATTTTATTGAAATGTGCGAAAATACCGCCCCAACCACTTGGTTTTACCCAACAAATTGTGAACACCCTCCCCCCCCCAATCACACAATTGTAATGGTGAGATCTCCTTAGTATTACTAATACACCAGGAAGTAATATCCAGACACAAAGCTGGACAGTCCTGGATAGAATCCATATTTCAAACAATGTTGCTTCAGGGTGGAAGGGAAATATCCGCAACATCATCATCATTATGTTTACAACTTAATATTAATTGGCCAACATTTTATAAACATAACATGTGGTCACTTGTAACATTATTGTCACGATGCAATCGGTGACAGAGGGGATAATGGCATCAGAGTCAGCTTTAGGTGACACCTGGGTTTTTTTCTACAGTCCTGCTAAACACATCCTGTTTATTAATTGGTAATTATTACATAATTGGGGACTTATTACATCATTGGTCTCCTAAATGCATCTGAACATAAGAACAGAAGAAATTTACAAAGGAGAGGAGGCCATTCGGCCCATCAAGCTCGTTTGGGGAGAACTTAACTAATAGCTCAGAGTTGTTAAAACTGTATCTATGTCATGCCCCGCTCGTCCGGTCCTCCCGTGTGCCACGCCCCCTCATCTACCCTGTGTGGAATCCCCGTGTTGTTAGCTGTCAGTAGTTGTTGTTATCTAGTCTTGTGTATTTAAGTCCACGTTAAAGTATGTTTCCCCAGTCCGGCCATTAAGGTCATTGAGTCTTTTCTGCCTGTTCTGTGTTCCTGCTTGTCTTCACTCCGAATTAAACCCCATGTTTCCCAGACTCCTTGACTCCTGGTTCTCTATTCCCGCTCCGTGCCTCGGCATACGTGACAATCTTATTTTCACGATTTAAAGGAACCCTGTATAAAGAAGTGCTTTCTCAAATGTTCTCATGCTAATTTCCACCTTTGGCCACGAGTACTTGTATTTGGACTAATACTGAAGTAACTATTTAGCTGAACAGCATGCAGACCTGTTAGAATCTTATATACCTGGATCATGCCTCCCCTATCTCCAGGGTGTCCGCTCGGTAGTAAAAGAAATCAGACAAAATTAAGGCCCTTGAAAGGTATTAAAAGGTAGTACATGGAATTTGACTTGCTAGTAAATTTTTCATCATCCACCTCAATATATTATGAGTTTCCCATTTGTCTATGTGTTTTAACTTCATCTTATTAAAAAATATATAACATACGTGTTAGCAGGACTTGAGTCGGAATTAATAGCCTATCAGAGTGACGCTGACGCCATTTCTCCGCCTTTTACCTCAGTTGAGCCAGGGTGATCTAATGTGTTGGTATTATCAGAGCCTCTGAAATTGGCTAGCAGCCACTTGGCGGTGAAATGGGGAAATGTAAGTTTTCTAAAAGTTGGCTTGATAACTCGTCATTTAAAGACTGGCTTAAGCCGGTCATGGGGCATAACACCTGTTAGCATTCTGCAGTATATGCAAAAAAACCTCTAAATCTAACTTGGAACGGCGTTACCGCAATCAAATCTCACCAAGAATCTCACAGTCATCAGCAGCGGATTCGCGTGCGGGGGGAGCAGTTCCCTATTTCGTTGTTCGGTGATGCTACACAGAACGGGGCAAATGCAAACATAAGGTCAGCTACGAGCACAAACATTACCATCACACCACCTCGGCAGCAAACTAGTGCGACTAGCACCACAGTGGCTGCAGCAGACAGACAGCAGACCTATATTACTGTCACCAACATCGGCTCTCAGAGCTGATCAAAGTTCTCTGGTGCCTGAACACCGCAGCCAGCCATCATTCATACAATTCGAATGAGGGTATTGGGGAACTATTCGGAAACATGTTCACTGACTCCGATATAGCTAAATGTTTTGCATGTGGCAAGGATATAAGACTAGAGATGGCATCATGGCAATTTCGAATCATCAAAACAATTTCCGAAACATTGGAAACAAACAATGTTTTGAAAAGTTTTGAAACACTAGTTGTGCACAGCCTGCTTGCAAAAACTGGAACTGCAGCTATAGCAAATACGGCAGAATAAAAACCTGCGGTGCTATACCGGCAAGTTTCGAATGTGACGAAGCTCGAACTGTCAAAAATGGGCATAATACAATATAATTTGTTTTTGATTATTTTTATATTCTGTCTTAGGTATCCTATATCTGCAATTAGCGTGTGACTTTTTGCCAGCCGTAATTCAATTAGTACGAATCATAAAAACGTTAGATTATTAATGTCTCTTGCACTATAATATCAGAAGCAGAGAAGAGGATGTTAGCAATATTATGTACAAGTCTGCACATCCACTTCTGTGGCCTCTATAATGGAGCATATTTAGCCACCGGCTCATTCCACCATGCTGTGCTAAAAATGCTACTGGGGATTATCGCTGCCCGAAGCCGTCGGAGAACTGGTGACCGACATCACACTCTCCATCCATAGCCATAATTCATCAGGAAGCATCCTCTCTTATAATAATACAATCCGGTGCCTTAATTGTGTTCTAACTGCACATAATTTATTTGCAGATGATTATTATTCTCATGTTTAAATATTCACGTTTAGTTTCACATTCTGCTCCTCAAGATTTTACATGCATTTGTGTACGATGTACTTTATAAATCTGCTGCAGTATATGTTTACTTTGCTCGCACCATATGTACAGTATTTGTACCTTGTCTGTTTGGCTTTGATATTACACCTACTATAACTATATGTCCCTCACTATACTTATGCCTAAATCACACTAACTGCTAACCTGTTTCACTAATACAACTGGATTTCAAATAATAATAATCACCAAACTACTCGCTCAAACCAACAACACCACAAACACCAAACACACACCGATTTTTTAATAGGTTTCTTTCTCTTGCCGTGAACAATGACACGGCGGTCACGTGACTAAATGTTTCGAAACATTTCGTAAACTCCGTATCGAGACCAGAAGTTTCGGATGTCTTCGGAACGGATCGATCCTGGGTGCCGAAATTGCTATCTCTAGATAAGACTGCATACATGATTCGATTCGGCATTGCGCCACATTTTAAGAAATTACTTATAAACAATACAGGTAAAATTGTTAAACTTTTCTCTTAAGATTTATTTTGGGACATTTTCAGACTTTCATCTCACGTTGCATCAACCAATAAATACCAATGGTTACCACCCATCACCATTCCATGGACTCTTTGGACAGTTTTTTAATCCAAAGTGTAAGTTATTGTTACAAGTTGCCTCGTTATGAAATAATTCACTACTTTGTGTATGACTACTGTGTGTATGAGAGTGTGTGTCACGACACACATAAAATTTTATTGATGTTTATGGCTGTTGTCAAGTGTCATTGTTTTAAGTGTCAAGTTGACTTTATTAGGTGGGGTTAGGGTTAGGGTTAGGATAACCCAAGGGCTAGAGTTAAGTTAAGGACAAAGGAAACTCAACTTGACACTACAAAAAAACCCAAATAATATTTAATGACAATACTTAATAAAAACAGTTAAACATTAATTTACCTAATATTTATGATGGGTTATGAAGATTTACCCCCCCAAAAAAAATAAAGGCCGCTGCCCGATTTTTGGTAGTAAAAAATATTGTGGAGGTAGTAAACAAGGTAGTAAAAGGTAGTAAATTCAACTCTAGGATTCCTGCATAAACCCTGGCTCTCCTTTGTTTGAGGCTGAACAGATTCAGCTCAGCTAACCTCTCCGCATAAAACCAGGAATCATTCAGGAATCATTCAGTGTGATGTTCGGCAAGGACAGAGGAGGCAGACCCCATAATGCGGTAGCGAACAGGTTTAATAAACAATCTGGGAATGAACACAGTCAAAGGGGAAATCCAAAATCGTAGTCAAAGGGCAGGCAAGAGGTCGGTGTCCGGGAGAGTCAGTCCTACGAGGAGAGACGGGACAGGACGAGGGTGGGAAGGGAGGAATGAAGTGGATGGGGTAGCAGGGCAGGACAGAGCAGGCAGGCAGGGTGGACAGGAGAAAGCAGGTCAGTGGAGCAGACCTGACAGGCAGGACAGCAGAGCAGGACACAGCAGGTAGGGCAATCGGGGAAAACAAAAGACAGAGAATCGCTCGGTAAGGGACATTAGAAATAATGGCAACAATACTTCGCATTGAGCCTCTGGGCTCGTTAGCTTAAGAAGTGGAGTAATTAGCTGACAGTTGTCTGCAGGTGCT